ACACAGAGCTTGCCGTTATCCCCGAAGCAGTTGCAAGCTCTGGCATCCCACACTGCAGCTCAAGAATGAGCCGCGCAAGGTCACAATCGTCGCGTTGCACACCCTTCAACAAGTCAAAGCTGTCTCTCGACGGGCCATCTGCTATGTTGGCCGCACTGCTTACACGCTCGAACCAAGGGAACGTGCTGTGCCTTTCTTCCCAGCATGCAAGCCACTCCAGTAGAGCGCCAAACTGCACCGAAGGGGTTCTTGCTGCTATGAAGGCAGACTTAGCCGCCTCATTGTCGACGAAGCACACGATTTCCGAGCCATGAAGCAAAGTGCACCACAAATCAAGGGCAGCGATCACGGCTAAGCCCTCAAGAAAGTAAATCGGACTACTGTTCTCAGAGAACTTAATGGGATCGAGAAGATTGCTGTGGAACTCAAGCCCGAAGCATCTGATGGGCTTGCCGTCAGATGCGACTAGCACGGCACCGATCCCACAAGGGTGTTCTGCCTCGACCTCGTAAGAAGCGTCTGTGAAGAGAAACCAAGTGTTCTCTCTCCGTGCAGAGATGACACGTGGTGGCGCTCCTACAACCCTATCCCTAAGGAACCGAAGTGCTTCACAAAGGTCATCGTCGACTGCGGAGCCTCCAATGAACTCGGCTCGTAGCGACAGCACACGCATGTGCCTATGACACCGACGGCCGTGGATCTGCCGTTCTACAAACTGCAGTCGGCCGCGCAGAGAAGCAAGCGCATGCTGATCGACCCACTGAGCGGAGAGCATGTCGGAGATTGTCTCGTTGAGCTCATCCTTGCGTTCCTGAGTGTTTTCCACCACAAACATGCGCTCAGATTGGAAGCAGATTTTGACACCCAGAGCCCTTGCAAAGTAAGCGAACTCAGTTTCTTTGTCACGCGAAACCGACCAACCAAGCAAGCTCCAGAAGCTGCCCAAGACAAGCTCACAATGTCTAGCAGACGACTTCTCATTGACCACAATGAAATCGTCATAAAACACAGTCCAGTGAAGCAAAAGGAGGGCGCAGCCCAAGTGCCATAGGCTCATCGTTGTTCTGCAGAACGCTGCCACCGATGCGGCCGCGCCGAATGGCAAAACGTGGCACTCGTAAACATTCGGCGTGCCTGTCTCAGGATTGGGCACACTGAGGAAGGCATCTTGCAAAGCATCCGATGAAATTCCCAACTGTTTGTAGGCTTTAAGCAAGTCGATGATCTTAAGCATCGGCACGGTGGCTTTTCCAGCACGCTCACGCACACGGAGCCTGTACGCAACGGCGGCACAGACAACATCGAGGCCATGAGGTTGGATGGACTCGACCCGGGACACCGTGCTGTTGATGAACGACTCGCTCAAATTGTCGATCGGTCTAACCTTGCGCCTTCCCCCAGAGCTTTGCACAACTCCAAACCGTCTGCTCACAGACGTTGTCTCACTCAAGCTTTCAAGGGGAATGGGGCCGCCCCCTTTTCACCTCGTCTTGCGTAAGATCATGGACTTCTTGAGCGAGTTCGCTTGTGCACGCGCGAGCCGTCGCCTGCAAGATGCCCGCACGAACTGCTGGAGCAGCAGCACGCAGACACTCCTTGGACATGGTCGCAGGCTCAACAACAGGCTTGAAGAGCCCCCCCGACGAGGGGATGGGACCGGTGAGGTCAAACCCCCGCCCGATCTCTGATGCAATGGAAGTGTCTACGTAGCCGCTTGCAGCGAGCATCTCTTCAAAGACTAGCAGCTTCTTGCCATCGAGGACTTTAACCAAATGGTCCGGCATGCTTTGTCGAAGTTTCTTCTCTTGCGGTTCAAGTTCTTGAGCATGAAGAAACCATTGCCGCAGAACCTCCGTCCTGTGTTGAGATAGAGCCGCATCAGACAGCACCAATGTGGCATCAATCGCCTCTTTGAGGGTCGGCGGGACTGCGTGAAAAAGATGCTTCGGATGACCCCTCCTGGCTGCCTCCTTCGCGAAGTCGCAAGGTTCCCAAGGGACCCCAACCGTCATGCGAACATGGGTCTGTGACTTTGGCGCAAGGGGCGCAGCGGCAAACGGTGATTGCCAGGGCAAAGGAAACCCGCACGACAAGAGCCTCTGCTCCTCAGCAGGCGAAAGATCATTCTGCACGACCGCCGAGTAGGCAATAACTGTCCAGCGGTCACCTGTCCACGGGAGGGTTGCGTGCTTGGCCGAGCCGTCGAAGCAACAAGGACAGAGGTTGAGTGCACGCGCCTCACCCCACAACCATTCACCTGTATCGACATCGTGAAAAGGGAAAGGCCCACCCTCGGTCTCAACGAAGAGTTGGCCACCTGAGTAGCTCCCCAAAGCGACAGCATAGTTCTTGGACCCAGGGACGTTCGCCGAGTCTGTGTGCAACGAGGAAGATTCGTTGTGCGTCACAACAAAAGTCGACCACAACGCATCTGGGAAGCGCTGTTTCAAGAAGGCGTTAACGAACGCCGCTGTCTCAAGGTGCTGCTCAGTGATCTTGGTGATTCCTAGCCTCGGCAAGCACTTATAGGCACCTATGACAAAGTAGTTCGCACCTTCACCTGGTCGAAGAACGGAGGGCCGCCTTGATGCCACAGGTTCCTTGAAGGAGTTGGCGAGAACCTGCAGGCAAGACTCAGATGAAAGATCACCTTTGCACAGAGCATCGGAAGCCATAGAACACAAGTTGCCGCCCTCGATTCTCCCTTGGCAAGGAAGGGCGGAGAGCACACGTGATTTAGCCGGGAGGAGGGGGTAGGGTGGTTGGCATGTGACACCGGGACCTGGCAGCCAGGGCTTATTGAGCACGGGCCCAACAGGCAATGCAGAGGCGGGCCCTTGCAAGACGCAAACAGCTTTGTGCTCAGGCAGAAGCGGAGGGAGCTTCTTGCCACGCGGCTGCGTACCGACAGCCACACGAGACTGCAGATGCGGATCCGCCAGGCGGGGCAGGGCGGGAGCCGCAGACTCGGCCCCAAGTTGTAGCAAGGCCTCGGAGAGCGCGGCAGCATATGCCTGGCAAAACTTGGCAGGGTAGGCAGAAACCGATTCCCGCGGCGCCGAGTGGGCCGGGTGCATAGCTTGATGGTCGCAGGAGACCTGTAAGACATGAAAGGCAGGATGGCAGTATGCGACGCGAATGTGACGTTTGAAAGTTGCACCAAACATGCAAGTGTGAAAAGTGGCAAAGGAGAGCGAAGGCATGGATTGCTCAGTCTGCAGCCACACACTGGTTTGCCAGAAGTAGCTGGACACCGGGCTTTCCAGCGTCGCAATGACGCCAGCCTCGTAAGCACGAAAGAAAATAACTGAGGTGAGGGCATAGAGTCGATTGTACGAAAGGACCTTCTGTGCCTCAGAGAACGGCAAAGCCGGCACCCCGTCAGGAAAATCTGAGGAACGCAGCGGAACCCCACCACGGGATGGCAGGGACGCAGGCGGCGCCAAGTGCACCGCAGCTAAAGCCCGATTGGCGAGCAACATGAAGAGCACGCGAACATCCTCTTCCAAAAGCAGGTCAAGCTTGACAATGGGAGCAGGTGCAGACCTCGGAGTCCAGCAGTCCACGCCAAAGACACTGCCCACCCCGGCTTTATGCACAGCAGCAGCTAGGCGAGCTGAGCCCGCGAAAACTTCAACGAAAAGCAAAGATTGAAGGGGCTTGCCGCAAATGCGAGGCTGAAGTGCATGCACAAAAGGCTCGCTCGGCCGGAAGCGGCGCCGCAAGAAATCAGGACTGGCGCGTTTTGCGCTTGCCTTTGCCCTTCCCTTTGTTCGCAGGTGCAGGGGGCGTAGGCGGCAAGTGAGGCTGGGGCAGCGGGGGCTTAGGCGGGAACTGCTGAGGAGCATGCTGGACGGGCGCCGCGGACGTCCCGGCCTGGGCCAACGCCTCTTGCAGACGCTGCTTCTGGCGATCTCTGCGAGCCTTGGTGCGAGACTTCTTAGGCGGAGCAGGCGGATCCACTGGATTAGGGTTTGACAAATCCGGTGGAGGGGGGCGCTTATTGGACGTGCCGCCAGGCAAAGGCAGCAGGAACATCATAACCTCCGTCGATGTCGGCAGGGCATCGAACAGGTCGTCCATGGGCAGTGACCCGTCAGCACGCTTCTTCAGTGAATTGGCTTTTTCGGCCATGAACGTCCATGCCGCTCTGTCAGCTCGCAAAATTTGCATGATGTCGACCTGTTTGTACTCAACTGGCGGGGACTGCTGCAGATGGCGCAGCAGCTCGGCATGCCAGCGCTCTGACGCGGAGAAGGTGGCAGCCTCGCACAAATCCAGTGCGAGCGACCTGCGGGTGAGAGCTTGAGAGAGGCTGAGGGCATCATCAGGGAGATGGCAGGTATCGGCGATTTCAGCAGAGTCACGCACTCTGATGGCAGACGAGGAGTCAATGACCACCTCTTTAGGCGGCTTGTGCAATTGTACCTCGTGAGCCCGGGTAGTGAACCGGTTTGGGGCTAAGTAGGTGATCTCGTCTGCAGCCAACATGCGAATGACTAAAGTGTAGCAACCGAATGCGCACTCAAGCGGTCCTCGCAGCACCATGCCCTGCAATCGACGAGCTTGCTCGTCGAGCCTGAAACGCCTCTCAGCTGGCTGCAGATCCTGCCGCTTTTCATCCGGACCTTCGATTTGCTGGCGGAGCTGGCTGACAGCAAGCGTCTGAGCCTCAAAGACAAGACGCCTTGCAATTGCAACCTGCCCTTGCTCAACGGCCGTCGGATCATCGGGATTCAAGAAGGCTCGCAGTGCATCTTCAGACGGTAAGACACCGGGTGCACCAACGGCATACGCGGCTTTGCTGAGCGTGTCAACACCGCGCCTCACAATGCCCTCAAAAACTGCCTGCGGGAGACCATAGTCCAGCACCTTCGCCTTGAAAGCGGCCTTGGAATCAAGTAGGGAGGCACCAGACATGGCAAAACTCCTAAGTGCAGAAACCCGGCGCGGCAGGTTCCTCAAGCAAAACTGCAGCATGCACTTCATAGGACTTGCAAGGCACTATGCGATGTAAGCAGAGAGGCACGCAAAGCGGCAACGAGACCGTTTGTCGCGGTACTCTCATCGCTCCACAGTGCACAGCAGGCGAACTCACAAAAGTTGACGCCGCTGTGCTAGTGCCAAAACTGCATCCATACGCTTGCGTGTTAAGTCAAGCCTGCAGATGTCATGTGAAATGGAAGAAATTAAAAGCGACCCCAACACTAGGGCCCGTGAGCTCAGCATCATGGCACAAGACGGAGCTCACGACGCATCGGAGCTCTCACCTCGAGCTCATAAGCCAAGCCGCAGCAGACTCATGAAGTCCGCCGCTTCTTCTCAAGAACATGCACAAGTTGCGCCGTGCTTCGGATGGTTTTACCACGATCACACTGCGCACACTTGAGCGACTCGACAATGGGATGACCAGTAACCCTGAAGTAAGCCTTCGACTTAGCACGACCACAAACAAAGGCCCCAGCATCAGCATCAGCGACTGGCAACAAATGAACTGTGCGACTCTGCCGATGCTGCCATACCTCGCACTCAGAGCGCCATTCTGGGGCCTCCAGAGCGGCGAGATGGGGCCCCGGCTCGGACTCAACCTCCGAGTCTGTGGAAGACGAGGTCGACGAGCTGGAAGACTCCGAGGCACCTGGTTGAATCTCCGACCGCGGCGCAACATCATTCTCTGGAGTGGCAGGGCTGGGCACCGCCACGTCGTCGCCCTGCTGATTGCTCTCGAGGCTGGGGCTCGCCGGCTCGATCATCGGGCCTGGGGAACCGCACGAAGATTCACCAACAGGATCACATGGAGGCAGCACAAGTGAATGTGTGTCGCCCACAACAGCCGCTTCGGCGGGGCTCGACGAGTCACCCGTTCGACTGCTTGCATCAGCTGGAAAGTAGCCGCTGCGAGACATGTCAGGTAAGAAAGCACCCGTGCGAACCGCCAGCACGCAGCCCTCGAGGTCCCGGAGCAGCTAAGGTGTCGCGCCCATAGCACTCAGCCGAGCCTCGATCGTTGTGATTTCCTAGCCTCGTCCGAACTTCCTTGGATATTCCAAATTTCGAACACCATGAAAGACATGTCGCTTTGCATGAATGGGCCCCAACGGTGGTGCCACTGGCATGCCCAAGATTGACCAGTAGCTGCGACAGCCATGCCCGCGCCTCGGCCGTGGAGCAACTCGTTGAGTGCCACCCCCCTTTGCTCGGGAGGGGGAGCAACGGCCCTCGTGCATCGCCCTGAAGTCTCTCAAATGGAAGGCCCGCTGCTGCAGCAGCGGCTCGCCAGTGCTCAACCCACGACCCTTTTGTTGCACCCTGGACAGGCGCTACCAAAGGAATTGAAGGGAAGTGCCGTCGCATCTTGTGCGACCACGAGATCACCTCGACATAGCCGGCGACATCACCTGCTTTCCTGATCAAGTCAAAGAAGACGTTGGAGATGATCTTGCAATCGCCGAATCTCGCTCGAGAATAAATCAAGTACAAGAAACATCCGGCCGCATAGACATCCTGCAAAGCCCCTTGCCTCCGCTTGACGAACTCTTCCAGGGCACTGACCTCACCAACGGTGAGGGGCCTCGCTTTCGAGGTCGGCTTGGCCTTGGCAGCTGCCGCCCTTAGTACGCCTCGAATCCAAGGTGAGTCCCCCGCATTCTCCGCAACCGGCAGCCCGACCACATGCCTGAGGAAGGCAACGAGCTCCAACACTCCTTTGATCCTCGAGGCCGGTGCATTGTCCTGAACCAATTTCTTCAAGTACATGCGACACACATGCTCGGTCAGTGGGAATGGAGTCGCCCCAAAAAGCAAAGCCCAGGCCAGGAATGCTTTAACCTGCCGCAAGCGTTTCTCCAA